TTGAATATCAAATAGATTCATTTGTAATGGATATAATCATTATTTTTATCGTCATGGATAACTGGCCTGGGTATCTTATGTGTCCATTGTTTAACTTTTTTCTTGAATAGATTCAGGGAGCTTAATGGTTTACGTTCTAGAGGAATACTGTTGTACAAATAATAATAATAATAATAATAATATTTATTCACTCAATGTACAAAGATAACAAACAATATGAGTAAATAAATATAAAATCAAAACAGGCCCAATAGAAGGCATCGCCTGTACATGGACCAATAAATTTAAGTTGAAACTGTAGAATGCAAATGACAAAAAAGGACAAAAATTAGCTACAGTAGATTATGTATTTAGTTGATGTTCGTATTTATGAGTTTATGAATTTCATCCTAGATATAGAATGTAGCCACTTTTTTAAATTTCTTTTGAAACAATTTCCGAAACGTAAATCTTTTAAGTCTTTAGGTATAATTTCATAAAATTTAGGCGCTAAATAGAGATATGATCGCTGCATTATAGATTTATGCGGTTGAGGAACTACTGTGCCACGAATTTTGTACCTGGTATAATGATTATGTTTAATTTTTTGGTCGGTGTTTACAAATTTATGGTAGTGAGTGATACTGTGTAAGAAATAAAGCTGTCTTATATCATACATTCGAACATCTGCGTATAATTTTTGAGTGGGATAAAGTTTCGGTTTTTTAAATATCATTTTTAGAATACTTTTTTGAAAAACATCTAAATTATAGATATGTGAGGAACATGCAGCTCCCCATGCTAATATACCATATGTGAGATGAGGCTCAATCAGTGCATGGTATAATGTTCGAAGATATTTTTCTGTCAATATATTCCCAAGGTATTTAATTTTGTAGGATACAAATCTAACTTTCTTTAAAATATAATTGACATGGATGTCCCATCGTAAGTGAGGATCCAAGACCACTCCAAGGTATTTTATGTTGGGCACTCTATTAATTTGCATTTTTTGATCATTAATATTGAAGGAGAAATTTGTGTAATTTGGCAGATGTCTAGCATAAGATCCAAATGGTAAAACATGTGTTTTAGAGTAGTTAATGCTTAATTTTCTACTGTTGAACCACCGAATAATTTTGATAAAATCATTTTCAATTACATTTTTCAGATCAGACCAGTCAGTGCCTTCATATAATATTGCAGTATCATCTGCAAAACTAGTTATTTTGCCAACACAATTAATTTGGAAAATATCATTTAAATCTCGTATATATTGTGGGACACCACACTTAATATACATTTCTTTACTAAATGACCCTGATATCTGCACAGATTGTGGGCGATTTGACAAATAACTTTCGATCAGTGAGTACGCGTTTTCTCTGAAACCAATTCTCTCCAATCCTTCTAATAATAATTTGTGATTAACTGTATCGAAAGCTTTCTTTAAATCAACAAAAATGCAGATTGAAGGGATTCTGTTATCAATATTTTGATGTATTTGATTTACAATTTTAGTTATTGCGTCCGATGTAGCCTTCCCTTCTGTAAATCCATATTGATTTTCACTTAAAATTTTGAATTTTGTGAGGTATCGAATCATTCTAGTAGATAAAACTTTTTCAAAAACCTTTGCTACACTGGATATTATTGATATTGGTCTATAGTTGTTAACATCTGTTTTTGTTCCTGATTTACGTATCGGTATTATATTACCTTTTTTTAAAATTGAGGGATATCCCTCTGACATATATATGTCAGATTCAAAGCATTTGTTGATTAGGTAAGTGAGTGGTTCTGTTATGTCCTCGGCTATAATTTTCAAATGCTCGCTTTTAATACCATCGAACCCAGGACTTTTCCGATTTTTTAAGGACATAACAGTGGTGTATACTTCACATTGCTCGACTTTATCCAAAATAAATGAGTTCAAAGTTCTTTTTGGAGGCTGAGTATTTTGTACATTTGCTTGTATATTACTTGCTAAATTTTCGCCTATGTCAGTAAAGAATTGTACAAATTCATCGCATATCTGTTGAGTATTTTTTAATACTGTTCCCGATGTTGTATTTAACTCAGTGACACACTCTTTAACTTTTGTTTTCCCAGTAATCTCATCAATAGTTGTCCAAAGCCGCTTAGGATCATTTAAGTTATTATTCAATTTATTTAGGTAATGTTTTCGTTTGGTTTGCCTTACAAGCTCTATAAATTTCTTTTTATATTGGTTGTAGCAGTCGGTATTCTCTGTAGTTGGCGTTAGTTTCATTACATTATATAGTCTTTCTTTTTCTATTGCCGATGTTATTAATCCTTTGGTAATCCAATTATTACTTTATTGGTACTAATATCTATTAGTTTTTTTATTTTCTCTATGAACAGTCCCGTTGCTTTGTCTATATTATTTATAGAGTATAATTGTTCCCAGGATTCTTGTTTGACATTTGATATTAGTTTTGAATTGTCGACAAAAAATTTGTAATTTTCCTGGTTGTTACTAACGGTAGGGATGTTAGAATGGCGGACGATAAATTGCACATACCTCAATTTTGTTATGGTTAATTTGGATCATTATGTTTAAAATTTTGATTCCGTCGGTGAAAGTGAATGTATCATGATTATATTGCAGTTTATTTCTTACAAAAACTATCACCCCATCGTTTTGGTTATAAGTGCCAAAGTATACAGCGTGTCATATCCCTGCTGATTGAAGCAAGAAATATCAGCCACTTGCCACGTTTCAGTTAAAACTATTAGATCAAAATTGTACCATATTTGGTCGAGTAGTATTTTTAAGTAATCAATGTTGTGTTTTATACTCCTTATGTTCATATTAAAAATTCGAAATTTTGCATCAGAATTTTGTGTACATAAATTAAGTTCATCGACGTTTTGTGCTATATTTGTTGCAATACTTGGAATTTGGAAATCATCAATGTATTTATTTACTGACATTTTTAGGTCCTCTTTAGAGATAGGAGTAGTAAAAGATGAACTTGAATTTTAAAAAAGTATCCTTAAGTTTTGTTGTTCCTGATAATATTTGTACGATGGGCAGTTTTTGTCGGTAGGTGAGTGGTTAATATTATAATTTTTTTTATATCTTTCATTTCCATATCTACAGTTGCAGCATTCTATTGATACATGCTTACAATTTTCTTCTTCGTGACCGTTGCCACAGTTGGCACATATCTTCTCATTCCTGCAATTCTTTTCTGTATGATTAAAACGGTAGCATTTTCTACACTGAGAAATGTCGTTATTTTGATATACTGTCAAACATTGCCATCCCAGAAGTATTCTTCTATTATTTTCTTCGAAGATTTTTTTGAATAGCTTTCCAGAAGTTGCTGCGTAGATAGTGTAATTGTTTCTTGATGGAAAATATTTGATAAACTTTACTTGTATGTCTCCACTCTGAATCATATAATTCTGATGTATAAGATCTTCTTCAATTTGCTTTTCATTCGGTTTCTCACTACTTTTATAATTTATTATTTTAATTTTTGGATTTAACATTTTCGGCTCAGTAACTTGGTATTTTTCATTCAATTTATTTTGAAGTTCATCTTTCAGTTTATTATGGTTTGATTCATCAATTTTTATATCAATTCTGCCATTTTTTTAGTTTCTCACACTTTCTATTTGAATGTTCAGAGATGAAAGATTTATTCTCTTACTCAATTCTCTTCTCGTATTATCGCAAGATTGTTTTTCTTTTGGAATAACTGTGATGCATTTCAGTGATTGCCTTTTAGTAATAGGTCTCGTTTGTTTTAAGATTTGTGCGTATGAATTTTCTTTTACTAATTGGTTTTTCTCAACTTCGTGAGTTCTATCTATGAGAAATATATATATTTTTCTGGTTTAGGTATAATCAGGGACGGCTGGCCCTTAGCCTTAAGTTCTGCAGAGCTGCAGAACTTCCAAAACTTTTGTCTTAACAGAAAAAAGCAGTAGTAATTTGATAATTATTTATTTTCCATGTTATCACACAAATAGCAACAATACTGGCAAAGCTGCCCCCACAAGACACAGTGTCGAGTCTGTTTTGTATTGACAAATCATTATAATCGACCAATTGTGTACTTATCATTTTCGTCGCGACCGCAGCGTAACATTATTCATGGGCCACTTGAAAAGGGTCTGTACACTACTTCGACACAAGCCGCACGCGCTTGCTTTTGTCTCTCTCTAGAAAATCAAGTGCGCCATTTAAGCATAAGCATGTGCTGCACGTTATACAGATCCGTACAGATCTAATGCGAAGTACGATATCTGATTGGTCGGTCGGTGCTCGGTATACAATTTTGCGGAAACGATCTACTGGATTATATTCTTGAAGTTTGTCATGAAGAAATAATAAAACAGATTAACAGAGCCTTCTGTTTGGCGATAATAGCAGGACATTTCGGGGAATACCCAATTTTCAGATATGTATTTAACGGCGAACCAGTAGAACTTTTTTGGAATTATATAAATTCCGAAAAATGTAACGCTGATACTCTCACAAGACATATTTTGAGTATCGTAGACCCATTAATAGGAGATTTCCCTAACAAACTGATTTCACAAAGCTATGATGGAGCCGCGGTAATGAGCGGACGTAATGCTGGAGTACAGGCAAAAATTAAACAAAGATATCCATTTGCTCACTATGTGCATTGCTATGCGCATCAGTTAAACCTGATTATGTCCCAAGTTGCTTCCGCAAATGCTCAAGTTCGAGTGTTCTTTGGGGACTTGAAGGATATTCCGGGATTTTTTAATAATTCTCCTTAACGCGTAGAGGTATTGAACAGAATTGTGGGGAAAAAATCCCCAAAGAGCAACAACTCGTTGGAATTTTAATATTCGAACAATAAACGTGTTTGAGAGCAGAGAATCACTCATTAAATGCATGGAAGAAATAGAAGAAAATTTCACTAATGAAACCGTTTGCAAGGCAGCTTGCGGTATTCGCCGTATGTTAAAACGATTCTGTTTTCGTGTTTTGGTTGACATTTTTTCATCATGTCATGCCTCACGTCGACATCTTGTTCAACCAGTTGCAAAAGAGAAAAACCGAGCCAGCGCAAGTTAAAACGGCTATCGATAATTTTGAAAAATGTATTGTCGATGTGAGAAATAAAATTGATGACATAATAAATGAAGTCAAAAGTATTTGCACTGAACCCCAAGGCAACAAAAGGAGACGACGTAATAATAGCAGTCACTATCACCGAGTTGCCGCATTAGAAGTATACGACAATATAGTGAATTCTGCAAATGATATATTTCTAGTCAAAGATTTGGTAGCCGCATTCCTTTTTTTCCCCGAAAACTTTGGAGAATACTGTGGTAAGTTTCCTGATGACAAGTTGGAAACTACCTGCTTGGCTTATCCCGAATCAGAAAAAAGTTGTTTAAAGACATAGTTGTCTGTTATTTATGCACGGAATGATTGCCGAGATTTACATGGAACTCTGTCTCTTTTGAAATTTTTGATACAAAAAACACTAAAAGAAACAAAAAAGCTATTAGAAATTATTGTTACAACTCCTATGTCAACATCAGAGGCTGAGCAAAATTTCTCAGCATTGAAAAGAATCAAGACTTCTTCGTAATACTATGACCCAGGATCGTCTTACAGCGTTGTCGATGCTGTCCATTGAGAAGGAATTCATTTCGACCATGGAAAATTTCAACGGGAAGGTGATCGTCAAATTTGCTGCCAAGATGGAGCGCAGGATCTAACTGACATATAAAAAATATGTAAGTTCGGATTTGCAGAACACCTGTTTTATTTTGGCACGAGCCGCCACTGGGTATAATTAAGTAGGTTAGTGCCTTTTGCCGGGTCTCATACCTGATGATCGACGTTTTTGTACTGAAATATTAGCATGTTCCAATCTTGGCAATTACACATTTTTTAACAAAAATTCGGATAACAAAAGTAAAATGATCAAAATCTAGTCCATTAAATATAGATATATATATATAGATCTTGTGGCTTTTGTCCGCAGCAGTCTTTCCTGCTCCAGGGATCTTTCTTTGGAATCAGACCGGAAGGACATTCTGTGGCTTCGCCTCAACTCCAAAACATCACCCAAATATATTTGCTGCCTTTATCGCTCTCCCTCGAACCATAACTGGGATGACCTACTCGAATACCTCGCCGTCCAGATCGACTTCCTGAACGTCAATCACCCCGCTTCAGAGGTAGCTCTTCTCGGTGATTTCAATGCCCATAATGAGCTTTGGTTGGGCTCAAATAAGACCGATGCAGCAGGTCGGGCAGTCGAAGCGTTCGCTCTTACTCAAGGGATGACTCAGCTGGTGACGAGCCCTACTTTTTCCCCCGCGTCTCGTCACACGCCAGTAGCCTGCTGGATCTCTTTCTGACCACGCATCCTGCCCCTTACAGCACTGCTGTCCTGTCCCCCCTGGGTAACTCAGATCACGGTGTTGTGGAGGTTAGGTTTCGGTCAGAAGCCGCTGTGGCAGCAGAAACTCGCACAGGCCGCAAAACTTGGCATTACGGACATGCCGACTGGGAGGGGCTCAGAGACTTCTTCTCTAGCTTTCCTTGGAGAGATGTCTGTTTCACTGACGCGGATGCGTCGACTGTCTGTTCTTCAATAACCGAAATTATCCACGTCGGAATGGAGGAATACATCCCTCACACAGTGAAAGTTCCTAAACCAGGGCCCAACGGCTGGTTCAACAAATCGTGTGACACTGCTCGCCAGCAGAAGATCAAGGCCCACAGAACCTACTTACAAAACCCCACTGTAGAGAACAGACAAGCCGACGTCGCCTCCAGAAACAAATATAACGAAGCGGTACGCAATGCCAAAAACCAGCATGATATAAAAGTTAGGCACAGGGTAATGTCGCAGCGCAATGGCAGTCGGTCTTTCTGGACGCTGGCCAAGCAGATTGAAAAGAACTTCTCACACAGTAGCCTTCCACCACTTACGTGTCAGGATGGAACTATTGTATTCGACTCAAAGGCCAAGGCGGAAGTGCTAGCCAAGATCTTTGCTGCCAACTCCACCATGGACGTCCCCACCAACGCCCAAGTGCCGTCAATTCAAAGGGTTCCCCACACTATGCGGGAGGTAACATTCAGGCATAAGACCGTAAGACGAGTGCTCTTGTCGCTCGACATCAACAAAGCTTCTGGTCCGGACTTGATTCCTGCCATTGTACTGAAGAGATGTGCAGCGGAGCTTGCTCCAGTTCTCTCGCGTCTCTTCCAGATATCTTATGAATCCGGCACCTTCCCTGAAAACTGGAAATTTGCTCATGTACAGCCCATCCCAAAAAAAGGATCTAAAACCGACCCTTACAACTACAGGCCTATAGCTCTGCTTTCTGTTATAAGTAAAGTGATGGAGAGGTGCATAAATCGCGAGCTTCTAGACTACCTTGAACGTCACAGCTTGATTAGCGACAGGCAGTACGGTTTCCGGCACCAACGATCCACAGGGGACCTCCTAGCTTACGTCACGCAGCTGTGGAGTAGACTCATCCAGTCTCATGGTGAGGCTCATGTCGTTGCTCTTGACATCACGAAAGCGTTCGATCAGCTGTGGCACGCTGCCCTCTTAAGCAAACTTCCATCCCACGGCCTCCCAGAAAAGCTTTGCAGATGGGTGGCTGACTTTATCTCTGGCCGCAAGATATCCGTCGTAATTGACGGATTCTCCTCTTCATCCCACAACGTCAACGCGGGTCCCCAGGGATCGGTCTTGGCTCCAACACTGTTTCTCTTACATATCAACGACCTCCTTTCCTGCACGATCAACCCAATCCACAGCTTCGCTGATGACAGCATTCTACATGCAGGAATTCAGAGTGACAAGCCGATGTCTGCCGCTGAGCTGGAAAAAAGAAGACTAGCGACGACTTCTTCTCTGACAAGAGACCTGGAAGCTATCACTGCTTGGGGACGCAACAATCTTGTACAGTTCAATGCTTCCAAGACACAGTACTGTACTTTGACGAACAAAAAGCGTCCTAGCGCTCATACAGTTTCGATGGACGGTCGAGTTCTACCAAAGAGCCATTCATTTCGGCTGGTCGGAGTCCAGATCACCGAGGAACTGATCTGGCACGAACACATCTCTTCAATAGCTGCAGCTGCTGGGAAAAAGCTAGGCTATTTGTTTAGGGCTAAGAAGTACTTTTCTCCGCATGACCTTCTCACTCTATACAAGGCCCAGATAAGGCCTAGCCTCGAGTATTGCTCACACATTTGGGGTGCTGCCGCCCCGACTACATTGTCCATGCTCGATGCTGTCCAGAGGAGGGCGGTCCGACTGATCGATGACTCTTCTCTAACAGACAGTCTCGGGACTCTTTCGCACCGGCGGCCGTCGGCGATCTAGCTCTTTTCTATCGCTACACCAACGGGCTTTGCTCCTCAGAGCTCTCTTCCATGATGCCGCCGCGCGATGTGCCTGCCAGACAGACCCGCCTGACTTCGGCGTCCCATCCTAACCGTGTCAAACTTCGTACATCCAGAACTGGCCGATACGACCGCTCCTTTGTTCCGAGGGTGTCTAGATTGTGGAACAATCTACGGGAGGAAGCTTTTCCCAGTTCTACTAACCTTAGGCAGTTCAAAAATCGTATTAACAAAATTTCTTTGGGATCATCATAGCAGCCGCGGTGTTCCGGCATTTAGGCTTTGACCTGCGCGGCTGTTTCGATATAAAAAAAAAAAAAAAAATAGAAAGCAAAAGTTAAAATACCCCCTACACTTCTATTACTGTCCACCTTTCAAATACGAACTGTTATTATGCCGATTTTCCATTCATGTGTAGAGCGCTATTAGTTCGCTCAATTAATTTTTCTGCTACAATTCCGTCGGCAATAAATGCCGATCAGTGCAGAAAAAGTGAAAAGACGCATCGCAGCACGCAAAGACACACACGATCCGTCTAACCGTTAATCAGAAATTGATTCTCGTTAAGGACGGCATGCATGAGGCATCCATATTCAACAGAATGCCAACAAGGCGTGAGAGAACTCGACGATGCATCACGATGCATGATGCTACGTTGCCACAGCACAACAAACTTCCACAGTCGAGTAAGTTCTGGCACACACAAGTCCGCAATTCGCAATGTACATAAAATCAAAACATCCACTTTAGCAGGCAACTAAAGCACAATTCTGTAGCAACTGGAAGGCTTATTTCAAAAACCACATAGGATATACGGGGTGTCCGCAAAGTTGGGGTTTTCCTTTACACGACGTGTAGATCTTGAAAACATAAGCAATTTTTCTTAGTACCATATACACCAATGTCTTAAGGGAACCGAGATAAAGGGCTCTGCAACATCAAAAATATCTGAATACCGTCCTGTAGCCGCGACATCACCGACTGGTACAAGATCACTAGCTCAACCCGACGACAGAACTGGGTCGGGGTCAGTGTGTCAGGTCAGTATGCAACCTTCAACCGACGGTTACGGTCACGCGTGTAGAGGTAATCGCGTAGACGAGAATCCCTCAACAAGCACTAGAGACGTGGCTAGAGAAGTGCAAGTATCAAAAACTAAAGTATGGTAAACGCTGCGTGAAGAGGGGCTGTAACCGTTTCACGTTCAAATGTACAAGCCCTTCAACCTGACGATTTTCCAGCAAGAGTGCGGTTTTGTGAGTGGTTGTTGCATCAACATGACAATAATCCGGACGTTTTGAAGTGCATATTGGTGACAGACGAATCTACGTTCACGCGTAATGGGGTGAATAACTTTCGCAACACTCATGTTTGGGCAGTAGAAAATCCGTACGCTGTCCGTCGGGCACATTTTCAACAAACATTTTCGGTGAATGTTTGGGCTGGCGTGGTGAACGGTATGCTCATTGGACCATTTATTTTCCCAAATCGATTAGACGGGATGCAATACCTAGACTTTTCACGCAACATTTTGCCTTCCTTGTTAGAAGATGTGCCATTAAGTGTAAGACAATCAATGTGGTTTCTGTGTCTGCTCGGTAGCGCATCAGCTGATTTCATTTTCTGTTGGAGCGGTATGATTTCGGGCAGAGACGTACTTAGCCCTTCTCGTCAACTGGAGAGTGAGTACTTTTTCCTTTATTTTTTTTTTACTTGGTCGCCCTCGTTTCACTACACATTACCTTTGTTATTTCAAGGGTAGTTGTTTCTGAAAAGGAAAACCCCAACTTTGCGGACAGCCTATATTTTTCTCAAAATGCTGTTTTTTATTGGGAGGTAGATACGTACTTTACGCATAATCCGTGTAAGTCAATAACTTCCTATCATTTCACATAATACAAGGAAATACACGTCACGTGACTCAGGTTGTTTTTTTTTTATTTTTATTCGTTATAGGCACCAACATAACTATTTCAATTTAGAAAACTACAAAAATAATGCTACAAGCAACTACATTATGCACTGCTTTATTGGCTTTGCTCGAAAGAAAGTATTTAACCCTGTATCTGCCTTTGCGCGACAACTTATTGAAAAAATCTAATATTCACATAGGTTATCAGTTATGACCTATAGATGACATAAGATATTATAAAAGTTGAAAAATAACCTGGGAAAATGACTTTATAATTAGTTGCTTGCAAGCAACATTGCGAGATAAAGTATAGGTTCTATTGTTACTTGCAAGCAACATTGACCGATAAAGGTAAAGCTAATTGCACTGGTTTATATGGAAATACAACTATACATTTCAAATCATTTATTTATAAAACGAATAACTAGAAACAAACAAAATATATATTTCTAGTTTCGCAAAATACAATGTGATGGCACAGCTAAATCTAATTGGAATGGGAAAAGTAGAAACAATTCTTATTTGGGGTGAAACAAAGCCTAAGATTGCACTTGGTACAAAAGATTGTTGTAAATCCACTGGCACAGTGCCTGCATTTACCTTTTGTACCATAAGTTGGCCAATGACCTATGCCATCTTTTTGGGTGGTGGTATCAAGTCTCGGCAGTATACGGTTTGATATTATTTTCACAGGGGTTTTATTAGTCAAGGAAATGGATGGTCTGCCACGAGAACTTTGTTTTCCTGCGTTGGCCAACGATTTGGCTAATTCCATACGGAACTCCTTTAGCGGTTTTGACGTTACACGTGCTGTGTTGCAGTCCTTTCTATACAGAAGCCAGGCGTTGATCACTGACATATCAAGAACCCATGTAAAAATTGGGAAGTACCATCTTTTCGATCCGCTTGGACTGCGATACAGACCTAGTAATGAATTGGCCTTATCGACACCGCTCATGTTCTTATTGCATTGCGTTATAACGGGTGGACAAGGGATGGCAATTTTTTTCTTTTCCACTTTCGAATATCTTTTTATCGATTTTACGGGATTTAGGCCACAGAATGTACTTGCTAATAGAACACATTTATTGTCAGCCCATTTTACTACTATTATACCTTTGTCTGTATCTGCTTTATAAACATAGGAACCTCTTCCCCGTTTTTTGAAGCACTTTATCGGTTTCAAGTTGACATCCAGCTATTCTGTTAGACCTTATAGTTCCTAAACGAAGTATCCCGAATCGGTCTTTCAGATAAATAAATAATTTTACACTTGAAAACCAATTTTCACAAAATATAACAGTGTTTTTCGGTTCGCTTAGGGTTTTGCACAGAGAAATGACGGCGCTAGCACCTACACCTAGATTTACTTCATAATCATCCAGCTCATTCGGAGACCATCTAAGCACTTCAAATGTCGCAGCTCCCTGATAGGGTATGAAGTCGGCAATATAACCAGAAACCCCAGCACGAACAAAACCCCATTTGTGGGGTTTATTTTGGATATACTGCCTCAAGTTGCCCGCATATGTGCCTTTGTAAGACACCATTGTTTCATCAATTGAGTATTGATTTTCAAACTACAGTTTATAACAGTTCTTGCGTACAATTTCTAATAAGGCTCTAATTTTGAAATATCGATCCTTTGTCTGGTCTGTTATGTTAGTATTATCACTGAAATGGATAAACCGTCTTATTTTCTGAAACTTCTTCAGAGGCATTATATTGGCCACGTGATCTACTCTTCTACTAGCTGTCCAAAAATCTTCTATGGCAGGAAGTTTTATTACACCCATAATCAAGAGTATAGATAGAAAATCCGTTATTTCTGACGGATTTGTATCAATACATTAGTGAGTACTATAAAGATTTGTCTGATAGACTATTTTATCAATTAGATCAAATGAAAAAAACTTTGTAAAATACTCAATGGGAACTGCAATGTTGTCAGGTTCAGGAAAGTCTGGTGAAGGTATGTTAACAGAAACTGTCAGCTTCAATCCAAGAATATGAATCAGTTTTTCGTCTTTGTGGTGGTGGCGGCTCAGTTTCATCGTCACTTAATTCGAATTCAGAATTACTTTATGGAACCAGCATGTCCTGAAGGCACTTCTTCTTCATCGTTAAGCTCATTTGTTTGGGAAATATTTTCTCCGTCACTGAAATCGTCGTCTGAGACATCGGAAATATGCGGATCTGTCGGAATTACGGTCGGTGCCTTCTATTTGCTGAAAAAACATGTAGTGCTTATGGTTGGAAAATTATCCAGATCAGAAGACTGAAAAAGAAAACGTAATTATTCTGGCAATGTTGCTTGAGAGATACATACTAAACAAAGTCATTTTCCTGCCTTATTTTCTGATCTATCGCTTAAAAATAATCATAAACATAAAGACTCAACCTTCTTTTATACCAACCAAGGCTAATAGAACATAAAAACAAATGATTACTTACCATTTGCAACTAAAATCCCAACTACAGATTCATACGTGCACCAAACACCTGTTACGCGGCAACCATATTGAAAATTTTGACTCAACTTTTTATAAACGGACGTCGCTCATAATATTATTTCCGTTAATGAATAATGTAGCTTACGCGCAACACTGCCCAATCAGACCGTTAGAGCAGGGAGGATGAGAAATTGAGGTTTAAAGATGACGTTGCCTACAGGCTACAGCACCAGATATAGAGTTAAACATTTGTTTGCTTCCTGCTGAGACTATTATCTCAATCATTCCCATTTGTTTAACTGAGAAAGTCCTTTGAATATACTCTGAAATCTTTTCATATAAATCACACGTAGGTGGGGTACGTGCAATACCAATTCTCTTGTACGAAAAATATATTTGCTGTCTGCCAAATAAGCATGCGTATTCTTCCACAACCGGTTGCCGATTATCAAAGAAGGTTGAATGAACAAGTCTATGTATTTTTTACGACTCACCAGTAATTTGATTTTGATATTAATTCATGCAGAAGCAAAACTTGTGACATTATATTTAAGTGTAACTTTCTATAACAGGTTATAAAAAATAGGATTAATATGATTATTCTACTTAAGTTGTTATATGTACGGCTAACCCTATTTCTTCTGCAAAAAGGGCCAAACGTGGCCTACTTACCTGTCTTTGGCTCCCCACTACAATCACTATGATATGTCTTTCTATAGCACACACAAGTCCAGAACAATTTTTTGGGCTTTTCCGTTACTACTAATAAACTGTGAAACTTATTCGATATTTCAATTTCCCTATATTAAGCTCAAAAAGCTTCTTCATAACTGATTTATTTGTCCATGGCATTCTCTTTACTGTCTCCTGAATAATTCAAATAGAGCGACTTATGAAATGAGCGACTCAATTAAAAATCTCCCGACGGAAACGACACAGTAAAAGGTCTCAGCAATGCGGATGTCCATAACCAAATTTAGAGCTTTATTGTAATATTTTACAGAATCGTATGCAGCCAATAACCCTGTCTGGTTGACATGGTTTAACTGATAGATTTTGACCTTTTATTATACAGGGTGGCCCATAAGTCCTTTGAGCTGGGAAAAAAGGAATAAAACCAAACTAGTTACATTATGAAGGATTATTATATGTTGTTATCATCTTTAATGGAATGGGAATTATGTTTTAAAAATCACATCGTCTAAATGCAATGCATTACGATCACGGCACTCATATAAACGACGTCTAAAATTGTCGATGACTGCGCGGCAAGTCAACACTGTAATGCTTGCCATTTCTCTTCGGATATTTTCTTTCAGGACATCAACTGATCGCGGAGTGGTGTCGTACACTTTACTCTTGAGGTAGCCCCATAAAAAGAAGTCCATTAGGGTCAAATCTGGACTACGTGGTGGCCAGGAAATGTCTCCTCTTCGAGAAATTAATTTGCTGGGAAAAAGTTGACAGACGACGGGCATAGAAGTGTTGGAGGTGTGGACAGTTGCTCCGTCCTGTTGAAACCAGGTCTGCGTATTATAGCCTGGAAAATTCTGCAACGCTGGTGTCAAAAACTCTTCTATCATTGTTACATACCGCTCTGAAGTAACAGTTAATGCGCGACCTCTGTCGTCCTCAAAAAAATAAGGGCCTACGATGCCATGCGCTGACATAGCAGCCCAAACTGTAACTTTAGGGCTGTGTAAGGGCTTCTGATGCTTACGCCTTGGATTTTTGGGGTTCCAATAACGGCAATTTTGTTTATTTACATGCCCGTTTAAATGGAAGTGAGCCTCGTCCGAGAACAACACATTATTGAGCGAAGAAAATCGATTCAACATTTCATTCGCAAAGTTTAGTCTCTGAATAGCGTCATTATCTTTTAATTCCTGCACTAACTGAATTTTGTAAGCGTGCAGACGTAAATCTTTCCTTAAAATCCGCTGTAAAGATGTTCTGGGTACGTTTAGTGCACTAGAACGCTTACGAGTAGACTGGGTAGGATTTTGACGAACAGACTGTGCCACAATGTTGATGTTTTCTTCAATACGAGTTGTCCTTGGTCGACCCCACCGCTGTTTATCTAACGTCGAACCAGTCTCTTCGAACTTAGCAACCCAGTTCTTAATCGTTTGAGCTGTTGGACACTTTGTAAAATTGTGTAAATTGTGGTATTCTCGATATATACGCCGCGCAATGGTTGTCAAATCATTATTTTGATAAAACGCGCGCACACAAAAAGCACGATCCGCTCCAGTGAAACACTCCATGGCGACTGAATTCCCAGACACTGAAGATACTGCCCCCACCTAGCCCGCGCCGCTCACGCTCACCCGTTAAATTTTATTCAAATTTGAAATTTCAAAGGACCTATGGACCACCCTGTACTAGACCGGTGAGATGATCTGTGGTAATTGATGCATGTAATTGCTGGAATTGATGTGAGGTAAAATGAAAAAATATGGCTTGGTGGTGTTCAGGCCCTAGGGGTGCCTGGGGGTCATATCATGCTTCTGCTTTTCAATTTTACTTTGTCGAATTCAGTACATCAAGAACTATCCAGTGTAACTGCTATTTTCTTCCCGGGGTGTCAACCTGGGGAACAACTTGTTAGAAGAAGTTTTCTCCAATATTACTAAATCTTGAGCTACGTTCTCGTGGGGCAAGAATACGGGTATCGTGGATTTAGTGTATTGCATGAATAAGCTTCCAATTGATAGTTGTGCTCATTTGAGTTCAGATTTTAGTAGTACGAGTACGTTCGCGAAAAGACCGAGAGTCACGAGGGCAGATGGAAAAATAGAAGAAGAAGCCTTACTGGATCAGGAAGTGGATACTTGCATGAAGAAATTTAGCAGAAGCTGAACTAAGAAATGAGCCCTCTGAAGGTTTGAAAGAACTGCTACAAATGTCTGGCGTTCAGTCTGATTTCCTGCTAGATTGCGTCTCACCACACATTCCAAAAGCATTTTACGATCTGCCTGACTTTTGACTGTCTTCAATCGATGAGGATTCCACGAACCAGATCAGCAAAATATTTTTAAATTTTGTGAAGCAGGGCGTTTAGGCTCTGCCCTGGCAGCTGCTTTGCTATGAAAAGGATAGTCAGCTCTTGTACTATGATAAATCACAGCAAATAAAAAATTAGCATTTCACTAACTGCATGCGGTCATTGCAGTAAATGTTTCACAGCATATTATAAAATATATATGAGTATATAAAAACCGAAGAACTATGCTAATAAATCTCAGCCATACTTAAAGTAATGGTATCTATCATAATTTTACGATTATGTAATAACCACTGAGGCAGTTATTTAAATGGCTAGGTAATGGTGGTTTGATCAAATCTTTCACACTTCATCAATGTGAAGATCGACTTAAAGTGTGTCAGTAATGCCTCTAGCTTTGCTCCTAGCCTCATGAACTCGTCTGCTCATTAATATTTTTGGTGAATTTTAACAAAGCGGATACAACATTTCAGACGGGGGGAAATAAGGTCAATTAAAGGAAACTTCGTCGAAGAAATTTATGATTAGAA